TGTCCTCTTCTCAGCAACCAAGTTCTCTTCACCTTTGCAGGCTGCAACTTTACCAGAGCTTCCTTTCTAGCCAAACTCAGAACATTTTAAATCATTCTGCTGAGCTCTTTGCTCTTGATTTTCAACATAGATCTGGCTAAAAGCCCCCAGTAGTAGCCATGCCATTGCCTCAATGTTAGACTGCATACATTTTCTTCTGCCAGATTAATTAGTTCCACCACACTTAGTCTCAGGCAAAGTCTCTGGAAAAGAGAAAAATGCAGAAAAATTGTATGTCAGAGCATAACACACATGGTCTGGAGTCTAACAGCCAATGCAGTCCTTCCCAACAAAAATCTTATGATCCTGATATTTACCAGCAGCATTTCTATCAGCATTTTGGTCTGAGCTCTGATCAGACTCTCCCATCAAGTTCAATTTATAGCATTCCAGTGCTGCTTCTTCAGCTGGCATCTCCAAACCTTTCCAAACTTCCTGCAAGCCAGTTCCAAATACTTGTGAACCACAGCAATGGCCCCACTCCTGGTACCAAAATCAGTCATTGTTTACTAGAGAAGCAGATTTAATGCAAGATATACAAATATATAAGAATTTCCAAGATTGGCTTACAGTGGCTACACACAGAGTCAGGTGTGAAAGAGTGCAAAAGGCCTGTCCGTGCCTCTGAGATCTGAAGGATCCAGTGGAAGGCCTGGAGTTCACTGTAGTGTTCCATGTGAGTCTGTATCAGGAGGCTGAAGGGTCTGCAATGTAAGACTGAAGAGTCTGCACTGGAAGCTAGGAGACAACATCCAAAGTGAAGGTGAGAACTGGAGCTCCTCTAAAGAAACAGAAGCAAGCCTTCCCTTTTATACCATTTAGGTGGCAAGCCCATTGGTTGCTCACTCACACCAATAAATCCCAGCAAATCTTCAGTAAATCCCCTCAGACACATCCAGAACAATGCTGATCCAATTCAGTTGTGTGTTTCTTACTCAAGTTCACACAATCAGTTAAGTATCACAGAGGAAAGATTTACTTTGGCTCATGTTTTCAGTCCATGGTCAGCTGGTTCTGTTGTTTCTGGGCCTGTGGTGAGGCAGAGCATCACGGTGGAGAGTGAGTGGCATAGCAAAGCAGCTCACCTCGTGGCCACCAGGAAGGAGAAAGAGGCACAGAGAGAGAGAGAAATACATATTTGAGGGCATGCCCCCAGTGAACTCACTTCCTTCTACCAGTACCCCCATCCTTTAACGGTCCCACCAGCTCCCAGCAAGGACTAAGCTTTTAACATACGAACCTTCGAGGGACACTTAAGTTCAAACTATATGATCATATAAATAGCAGTACACAGTATTGTTCTGGAAACTTATTCAACATAATGCACTTGAGATTCTTCCACATCATTTGTCTCAGTAGTTCATTTTTATTGACAAGCTATTTGCCTTGTATGCATATATACCATTTGTTTATCCATTCACAGTTAATGGCCATTTGAGTTGGTTTTGGTCTCAGTTATTACAAATAACGTGGTTATTATCATCTACATGTCATTGTGTGAGTATATGTTTCATTTCTCATGGATAAATACTGGAGAGTAGAATTGTCAGATTGTATCATTAATGTATGTTTAACTTTATAAGAAAGTGCTAAATAGTTTTCCAAGTGGTACGCCATTTTTTGTTCTTTTAGCAATGTATGGAAGTTTCAGTTGCTCCTCAATGCTTGGTATTTTTAGTCCCCTTAATTTTAACCATTCTCATAGTGTATAGTGATATTTTATTGTGGCTTTAATTTACATTTCTCTAGTGACTAATGATGTGAGTATCTTTTCTAGTGCTTGTAATTCATGTATCTTCCTTGGTGAAGTGTTTATGCCCATCATTTTTTAAAAAATGGGTTTTTCTTATTATTATTATTGAGTTGTAAAAGACATTTTATAGGGGCCGAGGATTTAGCTCAGTGGTTTCACCGCCTGCTGCACAAGCGCAAGACCCAAGTTCAATCCCCAGTACCAAAAAAAAAAAGGACATTTTATATTCTAGATACAAGTCTTTAATCACATGTTTTGCAAATATTTCTCCTAGTTTTTTGGTTTGGATTTTCAGTTTAATAGTATGTTTTTAAGAGTAAAAGTTTTTAAGTTTTTATTAAGTCTAGTTTAACATTTTAAAAAAGATTTATGCTTAGGGGCGGGGAATTTAGCTCAGTGGAGCTGCAGCTGTCTTGCAGGCACACGGTCCTGAGTTTGATCACCAGCACCAGAAAAAGAAAAAAAAGAAAAAAAGATTTATGCTTCTTGTACCATTAAGAAATCTTTGCCTAAAACAAGATCACTAAGATTTTAATAGTTTTAGTTCTTACATTTAGCTTTTACTTTCAACTAATTTCTACACATGGGGCAAGGTAAGGGTTAAGCTTCATTTCTGTTTGTTTTTGTGTATTGGAACCATGTTTTTCCAGATCACTTGTTGCAAAGCTATCTTATTTTTTTTTTTGGTACCAGGGATCGAAACTATCTTATTTTTTTAATGATGTAATATTTCATCGACTGAATTTCCCAAGATTTATTCTACCAATGTCATGTTCATGGACAGTTAGGTTATTTCCAAGCTGAGGCAGTAATGCACATCCTGGCACATAAACCCCTGAACAGTAAATGAATATTCCTATGGAATTTCTGGGAAAATGGCATGTGCATGTTAACTTTAATGGAACCAAGGAATTTTTCTCCAGAATACACACCCACTAAAAGGTCTGAAAGGGAAGGCTCTGACATTGATTGGCTTATTGGTGTGAGCCTTTCTCAAATATCACATAATTTCCTCCTGGACAAATCTAATAGCCTGTATTATTAGATTCTGAAAGAGTCAGAGCCCTTCCAGGAGGGTTTGAAGAAAGATGATAATTACTCCTTGATCAGTTAGGGTAACCTCATAAGAAATAGCCTCATAAAATACATGAGGAAATGGAAATTTACTAAGAATTATTTAATAAATATTGGGGTCTTATAAAACCTCAATTGTGGGGCCTCCCAAAGGGGAGAGGTTCCTGTAGCAACTTTATATCAGCAGTAATTTGCTTTCCAGTGGTGTGAATGTGCAAATTTTGCCTCCCTGTATGCAGGTCCTAACCCTCTCCCTCCCTCCCATATGAGCCCACTGCTAGGGTTGTTGGCTCTAAGAGTTAACAGGATCAAGGCCTTTCCTCGTACCAGGCCCCAGCTCAGGCTAGTAGTATATGTGGTGTATGTGCAAAGGCACAGAGGGGTGCTGGGAAAATGCAAGTTTGCAATGGGGCTTTCTTTTGCATCCTATCCAATGGTGCGATTTGATCAAATTAACTGACATTGTTCAGTAGCTTTTTTTTTTTTTTTTGGTACCCGAGATCAAACTCAGGACCTTGCTCTTGTGACGCAGGCAGTGGAACCACTGAGCTAAATCCCGGCTCAAATTAACTGACATTGTTGAGGATCTGTAAGATGACAAGGACTGTTCTGGGAGCCTTGAAAGTACACAGGGCTGTGGACATTCCCTCATCTTCAGCGATATTAACACAGACTAAATAACAACATGAGGAGGTTTCTTTGAGACATGTTCTCTCTATGTAGTCGAGACTGGCCTTGAACTCACTATGTATATCTTTAATGTAGCCCAAGTATATTCTTCATGCTTTTCTTATCAACTCTGTATCAGTTATCAATGCTGCATAACAAATTATCTTAATACTTAATAATTTCAAACAGTAGCCATTTTATTTCTTTATGATTCTGCAATCTAAGCTGTAACCTGAGAAGTTCTTCACCTGGTTTCCTCTGGGGTCGACCCTGTGGCTGCCATCATCTGGAGAGATGAAAAGCCTAAATGATCCCAAATGGCCTCACTTAACATGTTAGCACCTCATCAGGGAGGGTCTGAACAACTAGGGGCTGGTTGCTTCCTCCTTTGTGTGGTCTCCTCAGTAGTCTAAATTTTGTCTTGCATGGCAGCTGATTTCCAAGAAAAGGCAAGAGCAGACGCTTCTAGGCCTTTTAAGATCTAGGCCTAGAAATGACACACCATCCCTTCAGCTACAAAATATTGTTCAAAGAAATCACAAGGCTTTCCCAGATTTGAGGAAGCAGGAATAGCTTCTACTTTTTGATGGGAAGAGTAGCACACACATAAGGGGATATGAAGGATTTTTGTGGCCATCTTTGCATCCCATCTACCATAGTTCCTCTGGCTTCATTTGTGGTATTTCCAGTTACACTTCTAATTCATGTACAATTCATCCCACATTACGTCATTTAATCTTTCCAATAAACCTATAAAGGGAACATGGACTCCACTTTTTTAATAAGAAAACTGAGGCTTAGAGAGGTTAAGGAATTTGTCCACTGCCACTCAGAGCTGAGTTAAGCCCAATTCTGGCACCAGAGCTTTAGAATATGACTGTATACTCCAACCTCAGCCGACTCCACCCTCCCCAGTGTGAGTATCCGTGCTCTTTTCTCAAGGACACCCACCCCAGGCTCCAACAATTACCAAACTGTTTCTGAATGAACTCATGATGCACTGGGAATATGTTATTGAAGTTAAAGCAGACCAAACAACTCTGTGGACTGTTTTAATTATTTTAGTAATGTACAGATCTCTAGCATCGGCTTTATAAACTCATAAAGAGTATTCATTTAAGGATATAATAATTTTTATTTGAAGAATTTTGTCTAGTCCAAGATCAAGTTAGTGATGCTATAGTTTGATAATTATTCACTTTTCTATCCATTTGCCATTTTCATTTACATTTGTTTTGTATAGGATTAATGTGTGCAGCTTCTGGCCAGGAATGGTAATCCGAGCTACTAAGGTGTCTGAGGCAGGAGGATCACAAGTTTGAGGCCAGCCTGGGCAATTTAGCAAGACCTTGCCTCAAACTAAAAACTAAAGAAGGGCTAGGGATGTATCTCACTGGTAGGGTGCCCCTTGGTTCAATCCCCAGAAACACACACACACATACACACACGCTTCTAGAGAGAGCAAATTTTTCCATAAGGAAAGTTGTTTGGAAATACAAATTCCCCTTCTTTTATTGGATGATGAAAGAAAAAAGCCCAAGGTCAAGGTCAACTTTACGTTTGTCACCCAGTGGGTAAAACTGTCACAGGCAGAGGGGCTCAGCTCCACAGAACTCAGTTTGATTCAGGAGAGCTGGTTGTGTACTGCAGTGGGACACTTGGTTCCAGGCAGGTAGAGACAGCAGATAATCAGTTAGCAGCTCCATCTGCCTTTGAGGACAGCTACTAGTGAACACTGGGAGGCTTGGCTGCTTTTTCATCACTTCTTCAACAGCCACTCACCTCAGTATCCAAAAAAGAAAATTTTGACATCTCAATTTTAATGTGGGCATTTGATCCATGCTTCAGATAAATATAACCCTGTGTAGTACGAAGAAGGTTTAATGGGAAATGGTTGGCATTCTTTCTGGGTAAAGGCATGAGAGCGAGGGAGGGAAGAACGGGGGAGGGAGAGAGAGAAGGCAAACAGCAGTGGAGACAGAGCAGAGATAGCAGGGCTCCACGGCAGCCTTGCCTCCCTAACTTGACACTTGCCAGACCTGGCCAGCATGGTTGTCCTGAACCCGATGACTTTGGGAATTTATCTTCAGCTTTTCTTCCGCTCGGTGTTGTCTCAGCCAACTTTCATCAACAGCGTCCTCCCAATCTCGGCAGGTGAGTGATGACCACAGCTCTCCTCTCTGACATCTGTCAGGGGCAGGGGGAGGAAGGAAGATTGTCTTGCAACTTGTCCTGGTATTTTGCTGTTCGACTCTTGGTGGAGGGAAATTGGGAGGGAGAGGGCCACCCCAACCGCTTCCTGTCACCCAAGCTTGTCTCAGAAGCCCCTTTTGTCCTTGTTCCAATAGTTCTTCCTCGGCTGCTCAAAGACAGAGACTCTCAAATATTGTTTCTACCTTGCCTGTCTCTCTCCCCCATTTGCCGCATGATTTCATTTTGGTCAGAAATTTGGAGGAGCTTAAAAGAGACAGGGAAGTTCAAGTGAAAGAGAAATAAGCCCCAGATGTTTCTATAAATATATCTCTGACCATCGTGAAGGGGGGCAGGGATTGACCCAAAGGTGATTTTGCCGAGTAAACACACTTCCATCCCAGCCCTGGCCAGGACATCTCACGAAGGGAAAGGGGATCCGGCTGACTGTGGTGGAGGCCAGGGGCCCCTTTGCAGCCTCAGGTCTGGGCTTTCCGGTTCTCCAGCCCTATCCACTTCCATGCTGTGCTTCCTTCCTGAACGAGACAAGGCATCTGTGGGTCCTGGGAGGAGTGGAGGAGTTGCGGAGGGACAGTGTGGCCAGAGCTGGCTGTGTCTGTGAGTGTGAGGCTGGGAGACCGGGTAAGGGGCTGAGTCGGCCAGTCCGACAACCTCTTCTGAGGGCATCAGGCCATTACGCGTGTCCTGCCTGACCTGGAGCAGGGGAAGTACTGGATTACTGTCATGGCTTCTTTAAACCTTTCTGAGGAAACTCAGATGTCTTCAGAGGGAATGAGGGAGGAAGCAGACCAGGCCTTGCTGCCTGTGCCCTCACTGCCTCCCCCCCCCACCCCCGTTCACCTCAGCTGCCCCTGCTCTCCGTACCCCTCATGCCTCCAAGCATGAATCTCACAAGTTTCACTGTCATTGTCTGTGAAGCACAGGGAAGCCGCAAATGCCAGCCGAAAGGTCCTGTCTCTGAACCCGGCCTCTAATGCTGTCCATTCATACAAACAGCTCATTGGCAAGTGATGCTACCAATGGCCATGGGCCCTGAGGGAGTAACCGACAGAACAGTGTGCGGCTAATTATAAAAGTGTGGGGAGAGACAGCAGAAGGAGGGAGGCTCTGAGGGAATATCAGATGTGAGGGGAGACAGGAAGGGCGGATGGCAGTGGCACCTGAGCGTGTGTCACCATGGCCCTCACAGATCCAAGTTGAGAGTGCTTTTGGGACTGGGTGGGTCATTATTCTTTGATTCAGATGGGAAGATTGATAGTTAATTTGATCGGATTTAAAGGTTCTTCATCTTGTTGGGGTCATAAAGTCCTTTGTGAATCTGCTGAGGACTTCAGGGTTGGGAATTAAGGAAACTTAGTCTTCTGGGTCCAACCCTGCCTCTGGTGGGCTCTCTGATTTCCAAGAGACAGAGGGTAATGGACTCTAAGCACCATTTGGGCAGGGACTGTGTCTATCTTGTACATTCCCTGTTTCCCAGGATCATAACAGTGCCTGGCACATAATAGGTGTTCCTTAATTATCTGGTGAATGAACAAATAAAAACTTTTCTCAGCCAGGTGTGGTGGCACATACCTGTAATGCCAGCTATGCAGGAGGCTTGTGCAGGAGAATCCCAAATTTGAAGCCAGCCTGGGCAACTTAGTGAGACCCTGTCTCAAAATTCAAAATTCCTTTCAAAAAAGGTTAGAGGAGGATCTCAGTAGTAGAACATCCCTGGGTTCAATTCACAACACACAAAACATTTTTTCTCTCATCTATAGATTGGAGTTCACCAATATTTTGTATTATTTCATTTAGATAGAGCCAAAGTGCCTGAGGAATTCTAAAAGCGAGACAGGAAAGAATCTCTGATTTTCTTTGAATTCTCCCTGGAGAGAGCCCTGGCACAGTGTAGACATCTCCTAGGTAATGGGCTTTTCAGCTTGCGCTCATCAGAATGCCAGAGTGAAAAGACACCACTCAGATGGTTCAGATGAAAGGACTGGAATGAAGGGAGCATTTCCAGGGATGTGGGTGGGGTTCAGGCAACAAGCAAGCAAAGGTGAGGCACCTAGAGATTAACAACCTCAGGAAGCCTTTACCATCCCGTCCCGTGCTTGAAAAGGCAGGAGGAAGAAGGAGGGAGATGGATCCCTGGGAGATCTGGAGCCTTAGAAATACCCTGACCTCCCTCTCCTCCTATCCTAACAATCTGTTGGTAGTGCCTCCTGTTGGCCAAACCCAACTTGAAGCCAGAGGCCTGGGGCCCCTTGTTGTGGGCCATGAGGATTCAGCCTATGGGGACAGGGTCAAGAGCAAAGGGGAGGTGGGGATGTACCATAAGCAACCCACATATCCCACATATCCATATATCCACAGGTACTTCTTGATGGATTGCTAAGTCTAGATCTTCTGGTTGGGAATGTATCTTCAGACGTTTGGTCAAAAATTGGGGTAGGAAAAAAATGGGGTAGACCAAGGGGGAATCACTAAATTAACTCAGTTTAGCAAAAATACCTGTTTTCTCCTGGAGAGTCACTTGGCTTTGTCCCTTTAACTTAATCCCCATGGCTTCATGAGAACACAGTTCAGAAATAAAGTTGGGCCTTGAGATGGAGCTGTCCCTTCATACAGAATGAATTTAACCCTTTAAAAATGTTTTCTAGCAGTTTGGTTTGAAACAGTTTATATTCAGAAGCTTATAGATTCTTATTCTCCTAAAAAAGACAAGTTGTGTATACACTGGAATAAGGCCACGAGGAAAATCTTTTCACTCTACCCACTGTAGCTTAGTGCACACCTGCTGGATGCCTGGCACTGTGTTAAGTGCTTCGGGGGACACAGACTGAGGAGGGCTCGGCTTCTGTGCTGGAGGAATCCATGGCCTGTAGGCGCACATGTGCTGCGTGCTGCAGGAGTGGCTGTGATAGAAGAAGAGCTCCACAGGCCTGTAGGTTATACTCCCCTTCAAGGCGAGCCACCCCTTCATTCTCTTCAGGGAAGATTACATTCCAGCCGTGGCAGACACAAGCCCTCCTCTCTGAATCAATGTGCATTACCTGGCAACTTCCACTGCTGGGTCCCAGAGGGGAGCCAGGAAGGGAGCAGAACGTATTACAGAGGCCAGAATTGTGGATAGGAATGCCAGCACCGAGGCGCATACTTCCAACACTCAGAAAACTATCTCAGACCCTTACTCTGACCTATTAACACTCACGATGAACATCATTCTAACAGGCTTCAAGAGCAGGTTTCTTGAAGTATGCAGGACTAGGTATAGCACAACGGATTGGGGAGGGAGGAGTTGCTGCTTTAGATGAGCTCCTTGATCACAGTGACAAATGGCGGCTGATAAGATTGTAAGAAAAATGATTTTAAGAGCTAGGGCATGATTCTGAGATTTCATAAAGAATAGGAGATAGGAATTATCTGTATATAGCCATTGAAGGTATCACTGTCTTACAGCATGAGTGGTTTTCATTAGGATGATCGTGAATGGTCCAGGGTCTACTGGTATGTTCACTTCATTTTGCTTAAAATATAAGCTAAGATGTATCTTAGAACTATTCCTATTGAACATGGCAACTATTAAAAAAGTCAGGAATCCTAAATTTGCTTTATAGTCTTAACCATTTACCAGGTACCAAACCACCCTAACACTTGGTGGCTTAAAACAACAATTATTTATTATTGAAGTTCATGTGTCTGCTGGTGGACCTGGGTTTGAGCAGCCCTGGCTGGGCTCATCTGTGGGTCTGTGAATAGACTCAGCTCAATAGACTCATCCACAGAGGTAACTCAGTAGCTACAGCTCCCAGAGTGTGCAGCCACAGATCCAAGGATGCCCATATTTAAGGAGGGGCAGATCTTCTACACAGTTGAGTGTACGTGATTCTCGCAGCACCCCTGGGGTGGTGTGGCATCACTCTCACTTTTCAGATGAGGAAGTGGTCAGAGAGGTTAAGTAATTTGCCCAGGATCACAGCTGGTTTGTAAGACAGCTGTGGAATCTGCCGGAATCCGGCCTCCTGCCTTAAGCCTGGGGCTTTTACCATAGAGACCAAATCTGCTTGCTGATAGTGATATTGGATATTAAAGTCCTTCGGCACACTTCATATCCTCTGGAAACTCGATGAATTCTTTACTGTCTATTCCCTCCTGTCTTCTCCTCAGGATATCAAAGTACAGCGCTCTAGCAAAAAATTAAATATTGCTTTATAATAAGTGTACATGACTTACCACTCATTAGACACTCATTTATCGCTCCTTTGATCATCCTTGCATTTTAATGGCGACTAAAGATATTGGGCCGGGGATTTAGCTCAGTGGTTCCACCACCTGCCTAGCAAGCGCAGGGTTTCGAGTTCGATCCCTGGTACCAAAAAAAAAAAAAAAAGCTATAAGCTGAAGAATGCTCTCGTGGGATGAGTTTAAACTAGGGTATTTCGGGAGTACCCTGACCATTCAGGCACTGTGAGCCAACCTACCCTGTGTCCACGCAGAACGTGCCTTCCCTCCTCCAGTGCAGGCAGGAGCTCTCCAGGTGATGTCGGGGTCCAGGTCTCAGAGGCCAGATGGTGAGAAGACCCCAGTCCAGCCCTGCAGAATGAGATCATGTGGAAGGAAGGTTGTGATTCTGTCTGGGTGCTGGAATCTTGTGTTGCTGGTGGGATGTGACCGGATCAGCTGTTTTGCGGTCTATGTGGCCTGATGTCTAGCCTCCCCACTCCCCTTCCTGGAAGCCAGCGAGGCCACCCATCCATGTTCTTGGCACTAGATATGGGCCATTTATTTGTGTCTGACGCTGATCAGCTGTTGTTTAATGTCCCGTAATGTACTTGCCAGCCATCTCCTCTGATTTAGCTCCCCATTTTTCCTCTAGATAATAAAATCAGAAAGGGCTCTTAAATTAGAGGGCTCTCTAGGGGTCTCAGGCGTCACACTCAGGCGTTACCCCCTCCCAGGCCTCCGCATAAAGCAGTACCTGGTCCTTCAGCTCAGGCATAGGGAGGCTTTCTGAGCAGATGTCCTGCACCAAGCCCCCTCATCCCTGCTGTCTGCTGCACCCAAACCTGCTTTCTTCAGATGCACAGCTGTATAAAAACAACACCACTCCAGAGAGAACACAGAGCCCTCTGGCTTCAGTGAGATACCCAGTAAGCTGGTGCTCATCTTCTTTAACTGCAGTTCCCATCTGCAAGTTCTACTTGTGCTGTTCCTCTGATTGGTAGCGATTCCCCAAACCTCTCCTTATGCAAAGCACTTTCACAGCTACAGTTGTATTTGTTCTTCACAGCAGCCCCTCCTCTGAGTGGTCCTGGGTTTGAAGGCTGCCGCTCTTGCTGGAGAGCTGTGTGGTGGTGGGGAGTTCACTTCGCCGAAGCAAGCCCCAAGCTCCTCATCTTCCAAATGGGTGTGAGACCCCTGGCCTTACAGGATTGCTTCGAGGATTCATTAATGCAACTGACACTTCATGTGTTCCAACTGTGTGCCTGGAAGTGGGTTACAGGAGTGAGCAAACAAAAATTGCCCCTCCCAAGCACACACACATGGAGCTTCTGACCTCACAATGAGAAGAACTTGTCCAGACTGGGCTGCTGGAGATGCCTTTGCCTTTGAGTGTGGCCTTTGTAGTTAGTCTGGGGTTTGTGCTGGAGTGAGGGAGTTTTAAATTGCCTTACTTGCTGCATTTAAAAATTGAATGATTTAACATCTGTAAATGTTCCGATTTCTGTTTTGCAAACAAAACCCCAAACCTTTTGAAAGGCCAGGTGAGCTGGCAGTTCCAGTCCCACCTTCTGGTATGGTGACACTGGAATATGAGAGCTTGGCTCCAGCTCATAGAGTGTTACAGTCTCCCTGAAGCCTCACGTGCTCATAGGTGGGACCTTTGGGAGGTGATGGATCATGGGTGTGTGGTACCCATCACTGGACTGGCCCGCTGATGGGTTATAGCTGGGTGTGATGTTGGGAGGTGAAGCCCAGTGGGAAGAGGGGATCCCATAGGAGTGGCCTGGGAGGATATATATTCCTCCTTTTCCCTTAATCCCTCCCTGCCACACCATGAGCTCTTTCTCTGAGATGCCCCTCTGCCATACCACCCTGCCTTGGAGCCAGCAGACTATGGGCTGAAACCTCTACAAACTCTGAGCCAAAATAACCCTTTCTCCTTTAACTTGTGGATGTCAGGTATTGTGTCCCAGCTGCAGGGAAGTAACTAAGACACAGAATGTCCACTGCACCTGTGTGTGTGTGTGTGTGTGTGTGTGTGTGGTATACTGGGGATTGAACCCAAGGTCTGTCTTCACATTGAGCTACATTCTCAGCCCTTTCAGTGCTATATGGCCAGCCTCAGAATCCCCTAGAGGGCTTGTTCAAATGCAGATTCCTGGGACCCATCCCCAGTAGATTCTGACTGGGGCGGGGCACGGAGGCCAAAACCCTGCATTTCCATAAAGCTTCAGGTGCTGCAGAGCTGCAGGTCCACGGCCACAGACCACTCTTCTAGAACCACTGCTCTAACTCACCTCTGAGTTACTATGCCAGCTCCCTGTGGCTGCTATAGTAAACACATCAGAGTGGCTTGACACAGCACACCTCTATACTCTTACAGTTCTGGAGGTCTGAAGTCTGAAATCAGTTTCACTGGGCAGTAATCAAAGTGTTGGCAAGGGATGGCCAAGCTCCCTGCTCCAGAATGAGAATTGGCCTCTTGTTGTCTCTAACTCTAAGCTGCATTTGTGCATTTGTTTGTTGGAGGCTCCTTCCTCTGTCTTCCACACCAGCAGGGGAGCATCTTGGGTTTGGGGGAGGGAGGATCACATCTCCTTCTTTGTCAAATCTTGGCTTCTCTGTTATGAGGATGCTTGTGATTGCACTGGGGTCCGCCTGGATAATCCAGCATAATCTCATTGTAAACTTCTTCTTTTTTTTTTTTGGTACGGGGGGATTGACCTCAGGACCTTGCAATTGCGAGGCAGGCACAGTGCCACTGAGCTAAATCCCCAGCAAACTTCTTCATTTAATCATATGTACAATGTTCCTTTTTCCATATAAGGTAGCACTTACAGGGTCCAGGAATTCAAATCCAGATACTTATGGGGGTCATTGTCAAGCCTACTATAGTCACCTTTGCCATGGGATAAACAGACCCACTTGTGCTTTCTTAAAGTGACATTGGAATCCGAGGGGCGGGCCTAGATGCTGCCTTCACTTGAGTTCCTTCCCAGAAACAGAACTTGAGGCAAGAATTCAAGTGCAAGTAGTGTGTTTGGGAGGTAACCTCAGCAAAGCAGTGCAGAAGAGAGGCAGAGAAGCGAAGGCATCAGTACAGGGTGTATTCCTGAACAGTTACTGCTGTAGGCAACCGGAACTCCAGTCTACTGAGGATATCTCGGGCACAGGGAACTGGGCTATGTGGCAGGAAGCTGGAGGCACTGGCAGGCTTGATGGATGCAGAGGGACTTGGGCAAGGAAGTGACAGCATCTGCTAGAGATAAGATGCCATCTGTGCCGCTGTTGGTGTTTGTTTGTTTTTTGAGACAAAGTCTCAAATGTAGCTCAGACTGGCCTTGAGCTCATGGCAACCCTCCTGCCTCAGCCTCCTGAATCCTGGAATTATAGGAGTGCACCATCACACCCAACCTGAAAGGCCTTTTGATAGTTTCCTGCCTCATTTGCCCCTCTGGGCAGCAGTTGTTGCGGCTCACTATCTTTCCTGCTGCAATGCAAAAGTTGGGGTTTGGGGGGCCAGGGATTTAGCTCAGTGGTTTCACCCCCTGCTGTGCAAGCGGAAGGACCCAAGTTCCATCCCTGGTACCAAAAACCCCCCTGCCCCAAAAATCCGTAACACTTCAAGAGAGCATGTAAAGCTGTATATCTCCAATGATCAATGTCATTATATTATACACCTAAAATGTGCCAATGAAAGGATATACAAAAAAAAACCCAGAAGTTGGGGTTCGGTTGCTACATGGAATCACTATGAACAATGATACGTGTATCAGTCAGTGCTTACCGGAGAAAAAGATATAATGCAAGATGTACAAATATATAAGAATTTACGGCGTCTTGCAGTGGCTGCCCACAGAGATGCTGTGGAAGACTGTAAAAGGGCTGTTTGTGGAAGGCCTGGAGCTCACTGGAGTGTCCTGTGCGAGTCCGTTCAGGAGGCCGAAGGGTCTGTGCTGGAAGCCAGGAGACGATGTCCAAGGTGAAGGCAAAGACTGGAGCTCCGCCGGAGAAACAGAAGCTGCCTTCCTTCTTCGTTTCCCTTTTATTCCACTCAGGCGACCAGCCCATTGGCTGGTGTCACTCACACCCAGGCTGGGTCTTCTGTCTTCAGTAAATCCCTCAGCCACACTCAGAACTACGCTGATCCAATCTAACGGCATTTCTTACTCATGTTGACTATCGCAACATGTTTCGTTCAGCACTTTCTACCTTCTATAATCTTTATGCACATTATTTCTAATCTTTACAACAAAGGTAGCCATTAGTGCCCCCCCCACCCCGCCGCTGCTTTTTTGGTATGGGAGATCGAACTTGGGGCCTTGCACTTTCGAGGCAGGTGGCAGAACCACTGAGCTACATCCCCGGCCCCTAGTGCCCCTTTTTTTACCAAAGAGGAAATTAGCATTCAGAGAGGTTCAGTCACTTGCCTAAAGTCCCACAGTGCCAGGGTTAAAATTCCAATGCAGGGCTTTCTGACCCACTGACCATTGCAAGGGAGGATGTAGCAGTAGTTAGAAGTAGGGGCTCTTGCTGGGCGTGGTGGCACACACCTGTAATCCCAGAATTTGGGAGGCTGAGGCAGGAGGATCGCCATGAGTTTGAGGCCAGCCTGGGCCACATAGTGAGTTCAAGGACACCCTGAACTACATAGTGAGACCCTGTCTCAAAAAAGAACCAAAAACAAAACAAAGAAGTAGGGCTCCTGGTGCCACACTGCCTGAGTTCAAATCCTGTGTTTCCCTTAGCTTTGTGACCTGGGCCCAATTACCTTCCCCTAACCTCAGTTTCCTTATCTGTATAATGGGGCTAACAGTAGGATTTAACTCATAGATAAATTCTTAGAATTAAGTGGGCTAATTATGAACATAAGGTACTTGGAAAAATCCCTACCATACAATGTATGAATAAACACACATTTTCTGACATTATTTCTACAATCTCACCAAGTTTCTACACATGCCAACAGGTCATAATTTCCCTTATCATTCACTGCATCAAAAAGGCAAAAATCCCAAATACAACCCAAAGAAACTTTTGCTTAAAATACCTAGTGAATTAAAGAGAAAATGATGAGACTCTGCCTTTGTCCAACACACTGACCAGTGAAGGAGGCTCTTCTTGTAGAGATGGGCTTCCCCAGATGGCTTTAAAAATACACCTGGCCCTATTCCATCTCCCGGCCCAGGAGCCTTCAGCTCCACTCAAGCCCACACTGACCTCTCCATAGCAACCAACAGAAACACTGGTGGAGGCGTGTGTTTGGGAGCTGGCGACAGCTGAAGGAGATGTCTGTGTCTCTGCAGACTTTCACAGACCACTAGCTGGGTCTGACCAAGAAGAAGAGGGAAGGAAAAAAGAGAGCACTTCCCTCTCCACCTCCTCACACCCTCCTCCATTTCTGCATTGCTTGCTCCATCTTCTGTCCTTCTAAGAAGTTTGGAGATAGTACCTCAGGAGTGGAAGCTCAAGGTGTCTTTGGGAATCGCAGGCCCTGGAAATGTATTCTGCAGAGTATCTGAGCCAAATGGTTCCTCCATCCTTACCTCACCACAGTTGTCTGAATCAAATATTTGGGCCCTTGCTTCCTTCTGCCAGCCAACCCTGAAAGAAGAGTGGTCTTCCAGGCCAGCTCGGAGATTGCCACCAGGTTGGTGGCTGCCACATTTCTTTTCTTCGAGTCTGGTGGAAAGTGACATGGGAACATTTAATCAATGACTGGGTTTAGCAGTTTGCCTATTTACTAATGTTCTTAGATTTGCACCAGTGCTAGGGCACTGAGGTAAATTTTGGATGCATGGAAAGCATTAAACAAACCATTTCCTCTCTTATGGACTCAGTTTCCCCATCTATAAAACAAAAAGATGGACCAGATTAGATTTCAGTGGTCCATTAGCCTTAGATTTTATCTGACTTCATGGATGACAAGCTGTTTGCTAATTTACAGACTGAATACCCACCAAAAGAAGGGGTCTTGGCATGAGTTCCCATCTGAGCACTGCCTGAGAACCCTTGTGTACAGGTGAAAGACCCGAGGTTCCTTATCAGGCAGCTCTGGACTTGAGTGACAGCTCCATGACCCAGAAGCGACAGGATCCTGGCCCTCTGGTCTTTAATTTCTTCACACCTCAGTTTTCACATCAGTAAAAGGTGGATAATAAGTTGTGTTTTAGACGGTAATCTAATGCCTTCAGAGTGTGGCTGGCATGTAGTTAGCTCTCAGTTTCTGGCTGCAACCATTATTCTCAACAGTGGAGAAAGAACTGGAAAGCAGACCACCTGGCTTCTATTGGATGCTTCCTCTCTGCTGTGATCTCACTGGCTCTTATCCAGTGCTGAAAGTTCTAGTTTCAGAACTGAGAGTTTCCACCTAAAATAAAGCCTTGGACTGAGTCAGGGACATCACAGCACATAGGAGGCTCTAGAACCACAGGTCAGGGTTCAGAAGCCCCATTCCCCAGGGCCTTGGTTGCCACAGCCTCTGTTTCTCTCAATTGAAAAAGAGGGGATATAAAAAAGTATAATTCATAGGATCACAAGAGGCACGTAGGAAGGAACCTGGTGGCCTCTGTATTCAGGAGTCATCGAGGTACCTCAAGACCATTGTGGAACTTTGGAGACATGGACACACTGCTCACACCCAAGAACAACACCGTAGTCACAATGAGTTCAGGGCTGATAGGCCCGCTGACAGCAGGTCCACTCGCAGGGCCGAAGACTGGGGTGACCTCACTAGGAAACCCCCCGGGCACTGCAGCCCAGCAGGTGTCCGCTCCAGGGAAACTGTCCAAACCTGAGCAGAACCCAGCTGGGAAGACAAGCCACTTCCTGCTA